GAGTATCAGTCACCTGGAGGCAGAACTTAAAAGCCTGAATTTTGCCTGAAACTCTCAGTCTAAAAGTCTCTTGTAGAGAGACGAAACGTTTCATTAGAGAAGAACCCGTCCAGAGGACCTATACAATTTTTTTTCCTTTTGATTGTTTACCTGGATTACTGAGATGCATCAGGACATTCTTTAGACAAACTTTTGCTATGTTTACTATATTCCATTGTAGCAAAAAAAGGAGTTTGTGAGATTTACAAATCACTGCATTCTGCTTTTTATTCAACATGTCACAGTTTTTTTTATTATTTGAGTTGTAAATGTAGTGAATACTCAACATATTTTTTATTAATATACTATCGCAGCACAGCTTGTGGTAAAATTGTTCAAAAAAGGGCCTTATAATGACAGCAACTATTTATTTCTCTGTTTCCTCTGTACTTAGCATAACAATTCCACTTCTGACTAATGTCTTCATCTGTTTTAACGTGTTTGGAATATTTATATACACAGTAATGGAAACAGAAAGAAATTACTCCTGATGTTGGCATCGGGTTGAAAGACCAAAAAAAAAGGTGGTTGTCTCTGCTCTGTTTGTTCTCCTTCATCAGGAAAACAAATGTTGCTGCAAACATTAATGCTTTTTTCTTTGATTCATTGCATAAAGAAAATTACAACACTGCTGTGTTCACAGCTCGACCACAGAGAGAGGATTGTGGGGAAGTCTTATCTTGGAGAACAGGCTGGCTTTCTCTGCGCCCTGATTTCTGCTCAATTTCCTCCCCGGTCAGAGAACAAGGCCAGACTGGGGTGTTTCTGTCACACGGGATGAAAAAAAAAAAGATACTTTTGCGTTTTCAGCAAGATTTGGATGTCGACGTTGCACAAGTTGAAACCATAATCCATGTTTGTTCTTCCTTTAGGCCCGTCCTGCCCAGTGGTGTCATGGGATGCGTCGCTGTACCCAGAAATCCTTGCTGCAGGCCCGTTGRCTGTGAGGTTAACATGGAGGCAGTACCAGAACTCTCTGACACAGAGGTGTTGGCATAAGAACATTAAGCCGAAGCCAGACTCCGGCTGCTCCACCATCCATCACTACGAATGGAGCAAAGTAGCGCTATTTGACTTCCTGCTGCAGGTAACAGAAGCCGTTTGATAAATGAAAGCCTCAGAAACAATTTTAATACGTTTCACCGCTCTCTTCATGCAGACAAACAAACAAACAGCAGTGATTTGTCGATTCTTGTGTTTTTGTTTGCTCTCTAAAAGCTTCGAAGGCCATTTGAATTCTGGTTGATGAATGACTTTTGAAATCTTTTGCTCATCTGCCCGCAGCATTAGGTTCTAACAGCTGTTTTTACTAAAAAATGGATTTTTAAATACACGCCCATGTATTGTCCTCTGACAAAATGATGTCTTGTTTCCTGTTTGAGAGGCCTCTGAGGGTCATAGTTTGGCACTGAGTGCAAATTCTTTTGTTCATCTCATCATTTCAACGTGTAGGGACAAAAGAGTTTAGATAGTTCACAAGTTTATTATTGTGTTATAAGTTGTTGTTAAGGGTTTTTGAAATAAAAAAGTGTTTGATAAATGACCTTCATTCACTTTCATTTGTTTGATCACACTGTGCTTCAACAGTTGCTAAGAATCTGTAAAATGTTTTCATGTATTATTTGTTGGACTGAATTGAGTTCTCCTTTGTTGGGTTGCCTCCACACTTGGGCTCAGACTGAACAAATCCTTTTATTAGAAGAAAACAAACAGCAGAATCAGGTCTCTTGTAAATGTACTTGAAAGTAATCAGGAACTTGTTTCATTTCATGATATTTTCTCTCTACCAACTCTAAAAACGACACGAACAACCAAACCGAATTGGTTTTAAATTCCTGGATTTATTTGTTATTTCTTTGTTTATGATCCCCAGTCGTTCCCACTGAAGTGGTTATTAATCTTCCTGGGGTCCAACTGATAAAACCTTACAATACTCACACAACACATAAACCTGTTCTGGCATTGACATATAAAATACACAATCATCAAGTCAAAGCACTGGAAGCTTCTCAATGCAAGATGGAGGTATGCTGATATTTTTGGCGGTTTCTAAGTTACTGTATTTTTTTTTACAGTAAGCAGTGAAAATTCCCATAACGCATTGCAAATCAACAGTAATGTACTGTATAAACATATACAGTACATTACTGTTGACAATACAGTAATATTGATGTAAAAACAACAAAATTTACAGCAACTCACTGTAAACAGTTTCTACAGTAAAATACTGTTGCAAATACAGTACATTTACTGTAAAAACACCGTAAAACATTTACAGTGAAGATTAGTCAAACATCACATTTTACACAATTACACACAAACCCAGATAAAAAAAAAAACAAGATTAAATACAAATAAGATTTCAGTGCTCTTAAAATAAAGTGTGCTTTTTAAATATCTTTTATTTTAGGTCATTTATTTCATACTTGAACTGATTTGATTTACAAATAATTTTGTTTCACAAGCGTATCTAGTAACACGATTAACAAGCTTTTCATAAATCAGATCAGACAAACGGGTCTATTCTATTCTATTCTATTCTATTCTATTCTATTCTATTCTATTCTATTCTATTCTATTCTATTCTATTCTATTC